ACGTGCACAGCACGGCCGGCGCAGGACTCTAACGCAAGCTAGACAACCGGTCCGCCCACACACAAATTGCATTGTGTTACGCTGCGCCCACCTGCCAGCCAAGCGAAAGACTAACACGCCAACTACATGACTCACCCAGCCGATGAAGTCGTGCGTTACTTGTGACCACCATCTAATTGGTCCAGCCTTGTACACACGCGTTCACTTGCTCTAAATTATGCTGTATTAGGTTATCTCGAGGACTTCTACTCTTGCGCTCTTCTTGTTGTGTTCTTCCTTAGGGGCTCACACAAGGCGTAGTTAGACGGCGATAACGCAGCTTTGGTCACATTTAGAACGGAACCGGGCCTGAAGATCGCAGCAGCAAGGGTTTTCCCCATTAACTTAAGCCACTGCAATAGGCTCGGCCGGGAACCATCGTGACAGTTTTAGACAGCTCGAGATTCATCTTATTTGTATATCAGGTCTTTTCCCCGACAAGATCGACCTCTGAAACTCTCAGGATTCTGAGAGCCAGCCTCTGACAGGAACGGTGACCAAGATGCAGGATACAGCGAGGATCAGAGCAGAGCTTGAAGATCTTACCCGCAGTTCAGCCAGTCTTCCACGGGCAATATCCACGTAGTCCATCCACGTGTCCAGCCATTGTTCACCCTCTGCAGCGGCCAGTTCGGTCGATACGTTGGCTGTGACGTCGGGGTCACCTCTTCCAGCCGCCCTCTGACCCGACACCCAGAAGGGCACTACGGCGATCTGTGTGCGAAGAAAGACTGGGTTCCTCTCGAAGGGTAGGAGGGAGGTGAGCTCTCTGGCGAGGTAGGCGACACTGCGTCGACTCGACAAAACGCCACTGCCCTTGAAAGTAACAGAGACCGGTGGGGGGAATTAGAGATCCTTCTTTGGCAATTACTAATCCTTGCAGTCAAACTAAACACAAAGGGTAGGAATAAGGAATTCACGGCACGATCGCCAACTCATGCTGTAAGACATGGATATCCATTCCAGCTACTAGAAAAAAATATAGG